TCTCCTGCCTCCGCCTCCCAAGTAGCTGGGAATACAGGTGTTTGCCACAATGCCCAGCTATTTTTTGGTTGCAGCCGTCATTGTTGTTCGGCGGGCCAGGGCTGAATTCGAACCCACCAGCAGCTCAGGTGTATGTTGTTGGCGCCTTAGCCACTTGAGCCACAGGCGCAGACTCTATCCAAGCTAATCTTAAAATCTAAGTGAACCTTTGCTCATATCTTAGCTTCCCAGAGTATGGGACTTACAGATGTGAGCCACCATGCCTGGTCAAACTCTTTTTTTTTTTTTTTTGAGACAGAGCCTCAAGCTGTCCCCCTGGGTAGAGTGCTATGGCATCACAGCTCCGCAACCTCCAAATCCTGGGCTCAAGCGAGTCTTCTGCCTCCACCTCCCAAGTAGCTGGGACCATAGGTGCCCGCCACAACGCCTGGCTATTTTTTTTGGTTGCAGCTGTCATTGTTGTTTGGTGGCCCGGGCTGGATTCGAACCCACCTCCTTAGGTGTATGTGGCTAGTGCCTTAGCTCCTTGAGCCACAGGCGCTGAGCCAAGTCAAAGAGTTTTTGATAAGGGATGCAGCTGGGGGATATCCCTGGCATATATATTCCAAAGAAACTTTTGTTCTCTTATGCCTTGAAATAAGTCCCAGATTTGGGCTTTCTAAAAAATTTTTTTTATTTTTATTTTTTGATTTTAGGATGTTATAGGGATATCAGTGTTTTGGTTAACGTGCTTTACTTTTGTACAATTCGAGTCAAGGTTATAAGTTGTGTCTATTCCAGATAGTATGCATCATGCCTGTTAGGTGTGAATTTACCTGTCCCCTCCTCCCCTCTTTCACCTGTTTGAGGAAAGCATGAGGAGTGAATATTGTTCTTTGTCAATATTTTAGACTCTTAGGAGGCTTATAGTTTAAAACTTTCTGGAAATCAAGAACACTGTCTTTTTGATACTTAATTTTCAACACAGTGGAGACCATTATTGAGAAAATTTACTTTGAATGGGTAGTGTGTATGAATCTCTGCTAAATTGCATGTGATACAATGACTGTGTCACTAATGAGAAATTGGCCTCTGCTTTGTATTGCTTCATACCCTAATAATTTGAAATGGCTTGGTAAATGAGGTAGAAGGATAATAAGCTAATGAGTCTATAAATAGAATTCAATGCAGTTTGTGAAAGTATAGAAGCCTTATCTCATTTTCAAAGATGAACTTTTATCTAAAGCTAGACTTATTCTCCAGAGACCTTCAGATGAGGGGACCCCTCAGTAGGACTCAGTCTTAACTATTTGCTTTTCTACGTTTGATTTAGGGGAACTGTGTCAATCTGACAGAAGCCCTGTCGCTCTATGAGGAACAGCTCGGGCGCCTGTATTGTCCTGTGGAATTCTCCAAGGAGATCGTTTGTGTCCCTTCGTATTTGGAATTGTATCCTTTGACCCTGACATTGTGTTTCCAGATCAGGGCATCCAGGTGAATCCTATGCCAATTTAATATTTTAAATCCCAGTAACAAGTGGAATTAGCTCTAGAATGGTATAAAGCCCTGGTTCTCAAACTTGGCTATGCAGTGGAAATCCCCCCTCACCCAGATTTAAAAAATGCTGGTTCCTGAGTCCCACCCACAGAAAATCTGGGGTGTGGCTTGCCATAGCACTGATGTTCCAAAGCAGTGGTTCTCAATGGTGGTCCCAAACCTTCAGCATCACCTGGGAAGAACTAGTTTAACATGCAGATTCTCAGGCCCCACCCTGACCTGCTGCCCCTTTCAGGTGCTGGAAATAGGGCTAGTGACCTGTTCTATCAGTGCTCCAGGGGATTTTTGCGCATCTGAAAAGCCCTAGTCTAAAGCATTGCCCTGCCCATGGCAGATAAAAATCTGAAAACACTCATTCTACTGTTACGTTAAAAGTATCTGACTTTAATATTAGTTTTTACACTTAATGCTAATTTGTAGTAGAAATGAAAGACTAAAATAATGCTGGGGACACCACAGCTAATGTTGGGGCTCTCCTTCAGTTTCACTTGGTAAAGTTAGCCCAGAGAAATAAGAAAACACGGAAGAAAATAAAAAATGACAGTATTGTTCCTAGAAACTTATGCTGCCTTTCCTTCTTCTAAAATGTGGACTATAGCCTGTGGTTGCTGAGTCCAGGTTCCCACGACAGCAGTTTTTATTGCTGTCAAGGGAGATGCTGCAGGTGCTACCAGCCTGCAGCCAGGTCCCACCAGCCTGGGCAGGCTGGGACAGCACAGACAGCCGGCAAGAAGAAGCCCCTAGGTCTTCCAAGAGAGAAGGGGGTTATTGTGTTTGCTGCACAGCCATGTCCTTCCATCTTGAGCTTTGGGAGCTAGCTTATAGTCAAATCTGTGTTCACATGTTCAGAGATTTCGGAGAATCAGTTGATGACGTGGGGGAAAAAGGCTTCTATCCTCCAGTTCTTCTCCCTCCTTTTCTTCCACCTCTTTTTTTCTATCTGTCCTCCCTCTTTCTTCCCCCTCTCCACAATCTTTTCCTCCTTCTTTTCTTCCTTCCTTTGTCATAATAATTCCCTAAAACTTTTATTTTTTTGGAGACAGTATCAGTCTCTGCCCTGGGTGGACTGCTGTGGCATCATAGCTCACAGCAACATCAAACTCTTGGCCTCAAAGTGATCCTCTTGTCTCAGCTTCCCACGTAGCTGGGATTACAAGCACCCGCCACAACACCCGGGAAGTTTTCCTATTTTTAGGAAAGATGGAGTCTCAACTTTTGCTCAGGCTGGTCTCAAATTCCTGAGCTAGAGTGATCCACCCACCTTGGCCTCCCAGAGTGTTAGGGTTATAGGCATGAGCCACCATGCACAGCCTCCCTAAAACTTTCATGAGACCTTGGAGGCAGTAGTGTTATCTCCCTGCTAGAATATTTGTGTTCCTTCTGCCATGTCCAGTGGTGGGTGTCCCAGACTGCAAAGTGGCCTTATTTTCATTCCCACAATACTAAACTTGGAAGCTTTTCTTTTTCTTTTTTTCCTTTCTTTCTTTCTCCCTTCCCTTCCCTTCTTTTCCTTTCCTTTCTTTCTTTCTTGACAGAGTTTCACTCTATTGCCCTGGGTAGAGTGCTATGGTATCATAGCTCACAGCAACATCAAATTGTTGGGCTCAAGTGATACTCTTGCCTCAGCCTCCTGAATAGCTGGGAGTATAGGTACCTGCCACAATGCCGGTCTAGTTGTCTCTATTTTTAGTAGAGAGAAGTCTCACTCTTCCTTGGGCTGGTCTTGAACTCCTGAGTTTAGGCGATTTACCTACTTTGGCCTCCCAAAGGGCTAGGATTACAGGTGTGAGCCACCGCACCCAGCCTGCCACCATGAAGCTTTTCATACATCTTCCAATTTCTTGGCCAGCAAATGAATTTTAAGTGATGCCTGTTCTTTGAAGTGCCAGCTTTTATTCCTTGACTCCCTGTCCAGGTGGGTATTTTACACTGTTTGGAAGAAAGCTAAACTTTGAAGATGAATATCCCTAATCACATGTGCTGCAAATAGCCTTCCTGACCTCCATATGCTATACATGACATCGAAACGAGTCAGGCAATTGATTGTGAATCCCTTACTCTTTTTTTTAATTATTATTTTTAATTTAAAAAAGCAAATCAAAAATGTATATTTTGATGAGCTGGGGTGTTATTTTTTTGAAAGTCAGCTGAAGGACAGTTAGACAGCACAGCGAAGACTGCTAAATGCACTGACCCCCTAGAATGTGATTTTTGTTTTTATTTCTGTGTGGCTTTTTTTTTTTTTTTTTTTTTTTTGGGTAGACTTTCAATTTGGATGTTTGGAGGAGTGAACATCATTGTTTTGTTCTGGAGGGAAGAAGTTCTTGATGGTGTTTCTTTCCCCCCAAATCGACTTAGATATTAAAATTTGGTGCTTATAAGAGTTAAAAAAAATGAATAGCAATGCTTCAATTAAAGTTACAAGAGCGATATTTCACGTGTTCTGTTGTTTTATTTCAGCACAGTCCCCTCTTTCTCACTTCTGATCCCCTCATTCTTTCTTCTGATCTCAAAAAACAAAGATATCTCCTGGTCTGTTTTTAGTTCTATCACTGGTGTCATTTATCTCTTTATAATAGGATGGCCTTGGGGCCTTTTTTGAACAGTAGTAATGACTTCATTTGTTACTGTGTTAAATGATACGCAATCCATGATACACAACCCATTCAATTCACCAGTCCTTCACTTTGACATTGACCTAAGGCTAGCAAAAGATTTTGCATGATGGTAAACTTGGAAGTCAGAAGCTTATTTCTATTCCCACTGTAACTGGTGTAGTAGATGTTGGAAATAAAGATTATTTTGGATAGCTGCTATGAAACTTCCTGAGAAGATTCTTAGATGCACAGATACGACAGAAGCCCTTGGCAATAAGAGCTACTTATAAATTCTCCTAAGGAAGTACATGTGACAGCTTGGTATTGTCTGTGGGTAATGATCCACATCAAACTGAGCTTATATAAACTTGGATTGTTAGACATCACTGGGTTATTCTAATGGTTTTATAAAAAGTTTATACCTTAATGCAATAAGTATGTTTATTATGGTGGAGTCGCAGTAAGCAAAGCATTAAAAATGAAACATTCAGTGTCTGGAGGTAGAATTTGTGTTAATACAGAACTTTTTGGGGGGGGGGGGAGACAGAGTCGCACTCCGTGTCCTGGTTAGAGGGCCCTGGCGTCATAGCTCACAGAACAACCTCAAATTTGGGGGCTTGAGTGACCCTCTTGACGCAGCTTCTGAGTAGCTTAGGGCTACAGGCTTGTGCCACAACACCTGACTAGTTTTTCTATTTTTAGTGTACGTGGGGTCTTGCTCTTGTTCAGACTGGTTTTGATCTACTGAGGTCAGGCGGTCTACTGTCTCAGCTTCCCAGAGTGGTAGGATTACAGGCATGAGCCACTGTACCCGGCCCTTGGTAGGTGTGGTATGTAACAAGTGCTCTTTAAAAATAAGCAAATGTGTGGTGGCGCCCGTAGCTCAATGGGTAGGGTGCCAGCCACGTACACCAAGGCTGGCGGGTTCAAATCCAGCCTGGGCCAGCTAAAACAATGGCAATTGCAACAACAAAAAAATGGTCGGGCATTGTGGCGGGCACCTGTAGTCTCAGCTACTTGGGAGGCTGAGGCAAGAGAATTGCTTAAGCCCAAGAGATGGAGGTTGCTGTGAGCTGTGACACTATGGCACTCTACTGAGGGCAACAGCTTATAAGACTCTGTCTCAAAAAAACAAAGAAAACAAAAACAAGCTAATGTGTACTCCTTTTCCTTATTATTGGATTGGCATGGAAGAAGAAACAAGGTAGAATAAAGGAGTCAGAGTCATGTTGGAACTAGATGGGCTGAACAAATATTTTTCTTATTCATGTAGGTTAAAGATGTCACTGGTGGACATTATGAATCTTCTCCGTCCCCTCAAACTCTTCTGTCATGCTTTGTAAAGGCTCAGTACTATTTAAGACTTAAAATGATGGTGCCATTACTGTAGAGCACTGTTTGGGGTTAGTAGAAATATGTGGGCAAGCCTTTGCACTTGAAGCTTGCAGTTGAGGCAACAGATCTGCTGGTAAATCTGGTGACACAGATCCTGCTTGCTAAGACCTGACAGGTAGAAGTGAAATGGATCTGGTTGTGCCAGGCCATGGTAGATACATTCAGGAGGGAATAAGGAATATGAGAATAAGTGTGGGGGAGGAGTGGAAATCAACCTATCTTTTCATTTGGGGTGATAATAGTGAATTCTGACCCTTCTCACTCCTTTGTATTAGAGAAATGATGTTAAATTATTTTGAACATCTTATTGTTAAAAGCATGGAAACTGGGCAGTGCCTATGGCTCAAAGGAGTAGGGTGCTGGCCCCATATACCAGAGGTGGCAGGTTCAAACCCAGCCCCAGCCAAAAACTGCAAAAACATCATCAACAAAAGCATGGAAACTGAACTCCGATAACTTAAACCACGTGTGCTTTTGCTGCCTTTTAAAGAAATTTTATAAGATCTAGCACTGTGGTTTTACTTTAGTGGCTGTAATGTTATATGCTGTTAAAATTTAAAATAGAAGATACTATAGTATCCTAGAGCTGCTTTTTTTATTTTTAATTTATTTTTCATTAAATCACAGCTGTGTACATTAATGCAATCATGGGGTACAATGTGCTGGTGTTATATACAATTTGAAATATCTTCATCAAACTGGTTAACAAGTCTTCATGGCATTTTCCTAGTTATTAAGACATTTGTATTCTACATTTAGTAAATTTCACATGTACCCTTGTAAGATGCACTGTAGGTGTGGTCTCACCAATTACCCTCCCTCCACCCATCCTCCCCCTCCCCTGCCCTCCCCCTCCCCTTACTCCTTTTTGGGCTATAATTGGGTTATAACTTTCATAAGAGAGCTATAAATTGGTTTCATAGTAAGACTGAGTACATTAGATACTTTTTCTTCCCTTCTTGAGATACTTTGCTAAGAAGAATATGTTCCAGCTCCATCCATGTAAACATGAAGGAGGTAAAGTCTCCATCTTTCTTTAGGGCTGCATAATATTCCATGGTGTACATATGCCACAATTTATTAATCCATTCATGGGTCGATGGGCACTTGGGCTTCTTCCATGACT